AGACGTCATTAACAGTCAGGGAAAAACATGACCTTTTTAATGCCAAAATATAGATATCGACATATTGTAGTTTGTGAATGTACATATCTGTATAACCATGGAAGTAATATTTAAAAATTCCTTTTAAATATTACTTCGGAATCCATGGTATAACAATAAGTTTAAACATCTAGTTGGGTTTTAATTCCTTGATAACAAAGATCTAACGACAATGTTGATTTGCTAACCTTTTAGAATAAGTTTATTTGAAGGATCGATAAGTTTACCCAGATCGTATTTAAATTTACGGGCTCCGTAAAAATTAGGATGTGCTACCCCGTTTCCCATCAGTTTTCAGGTACAGCCATATTTTCCAAACTAAATCTTTGTATTATAAAAAAAATTAATAAAGGTTTAAAGTAATTTTTGGTAACGAAATACTTGACTTAATGTCTTCCTGCAGACTGTTGTTATATTGTGAACTAGTATGTTAAAAATCCGGCTCAGCGTGTCGGTCTTGTACAAAGCAGAGTTGATACGATGTCATATTACCATGTTATAGTCATGATTATTAATTAGAATAAGCACTGGACGTTAAACAGCCACCCATCCATCCATCCATCCATATTTTCCCTAGCTATAAAATATTTCAAACTTAAAAGCAATTTGTTTTTGATAGTAACAGGGTTATAATCTAAATTGTACAGTCTTATTTAAAGAATACCAGATATCCATTTTATGTTATAGCAAGAAAAAACGTACGGTGACCCCATTTTTTCTCTTTTATTTTCTGAAAATATTTTATAAGAGGTACCTTCTCAGATTTAATTTCGAAATTCTATCAATAAGTTTACCTTCTATTCGCATTATGATGTTTTCTCTGTATAATCTATACGAATTGTGTCATTTTTTCACAACCTGTAGCTTAAAAACAAGCTCGGTGACCTATTATTTTATCCGATATTTATCCGAAATATGATATTTTAAGAGTTCAGTATTCTAGCAATACGTAATTTCAGTGGTGATTAAAAGTTAAGATTTTGAACATTTGCAGCTAATCTTTTTACTGAGGAATTTTGTATAAATCTACACATTTTTTGAAGAAAAAAAATCATACATAATTGTGAATCAATAAATGACACTATCCTGGCTCATTCATATTTCTGTCTTAATTTTGAATTTCTTGTACAGAGGAGTGCCAATGCAGCTGAGATTAGCGTTGTCTTCTTTGCTTTACGTGTTTGATATTCGTGTGTATATTTCCTCAAGTTATTTGACAATCATGTGTATTGCCTCAAGGAAGATAAATGTTTTCAATGGATGTAACTGCTTCGAAAGTTAATTACAAGGAAGACGCAGGTGCAAGGAGAGAAGCGGTCATTGTTGTCACGAAAGTTAGATAACATTACCGACTACAACGATATCAATTTGAAATTTTACAGTCACTATTTTGTTTTCTTTATATTTCTGAAAATATACGCATCTTCCTACGATTAAAGATGGAAAGACATATATTTTCCTGGACATAAACTGAATTGACAAAAAGGCGTTAAGGATTACCGGTTACATTATCTAGTCACAATTAACTTCCCCTATACAGAAAGGCATGTCCGCTTTCTCCTGTATTTGTCTTACTCACAATGATAAAACATCGTGGAATTTGATGAATCTTGAAATTGTACTTAAAAGAAAATAACTAGCTATTTTACGTCAGAGTTTTTTTTATAATTGTTTCAGAAATTCGTTCCCATTTATTTTTAGGATACATATATAAAAAAAAAACATTTGCTAAAAATTGCATTTTCTGGTTTATCTGTAAGCAGGTTGGTATGCTTTGGACAAATCTTTAACCAAGATCATGTGACTGTCCGCTCAAACCGGTACTAGGGGCCGTCTCGGGCTTGTACTGCAGTGAGAGTATGTGTTTCATGCTGAAGACCTCGCTTTGACATTAAGATGAGGCTTAGCCACGAAAACATTCAATGTAGGGTTTTTTTGTCTTATCCTTTCTTTTCGATTTAAGACTAAATTAAACGGTTTGATTTGTCGGAATTTCTGTCCACTTGCTTTTTTTCATATTTCCAAAAGCTATTGTCTTCCTCTGGCAACCAAATATCTCAAAGTTCTGTTAAAGTGCCTCTGAAAAAAGGTAGAATTTTCGAAGGTATTTCTCGTAGTACTTTTCAGGTATCAACTCTGCTAAACTATTTTAAGGCATATCAATGAAATAGTTCAATCTCCCCCTATATATAAGTATCCGATAGCCCAAAAAAAAAAATCTAGAAGAATACAAATTCCTGTTGAGGTTAATATGCCCATTGATATTATTTTTTTAATGTCCAGTGGCAAATATTAAACGAACATTCATGTTGAAATAAGCGGAGGAAGTAAGCTAGAAGAGAAATAATCAATGTATTTGTTCATTTTCAATTATAAAAGACCAACGGGCCGACGAATTTAACAAAGGCGAATTAAGGGGGACAGGGGGCCTTGGACCCCATATGGAGCTGCATATATAGTAAATGCATTGACTTTTAACATGTCAAACTCCATACTTTCTTATTCCCCCCACCCCCTTTTCGAAATCCTGGATCAACATATGTTTAATACTGTAGGTTAAATGTATCTCCGTTCTAGAGAAAACGCAAATCAATTTATCTGAAAGCAAACTCCCGTGTAATGTAATTCTGATCAGCAGGTAGCTTCTCATAATTCAGACGATAACAAGTTCAAAATTCAACTAGTTTGGTATTTGTATAAAAAGTTTAAAATAATTTTTTTTATTTGGCGTAAAGTATTTAGCTGATCGTAATTTTATCTAAATCTTAATTATTGGAGGGTCTGGATGGGGTTTTTCAGAATAGAGAACAATGAACCAATGCTACAGAAAAATGGGCCAAAACAAATAAAGAAAAGAAAATAGTGCCACATGTGGAGAAGGATCTGCTTACCCTTCCGAAGCACCTGAGATCACCCCCAGTTTTTGGTGGTGTTCGTGTTGCTCAGTCTTTAGTTTTCTATGTTGTGTATTGTGTACTATTGTTTGTCTGTTGGGCCTTTTTCTTTTTTAGCCATGGCGTTGTCTGTTTATTTTCGACATGAGTTTGAATGTCCCTCTGGTATATTTCGCCCCTCTTTTAGTAATCGGGTGTCAAAATATAAAGAATAGAGATTAATGGGCAATATTTACAAAGAAAAGTGAAAATTGCTTAAAAAAAATGAGGAATACAGAATTGAAGGACCATCTATCAAGACCCCCATGTAGGCCACACGTTTAAATTTTGTTTCCTGAATTTGTCTCATTAATTTTTGTGTACAGACTGAACTTTCAATATCTAATACCGTGAAAGTAAATTAATTTTAATAGAAAAAATTAAATGCCCACTCGATCACATCAATAATAATTTTGTATGATAAAAAGCATTTTAAAAAATAGAAATAATAAAAGTCATAGATTCACTTGTCTATACATTTTGCAATCGCTCCCTTTAGAATTGTTTTCAGAAAAAAAACCTTTAGCAATAAGTCGATCGGGAATTCTTTGAGAAATTTCAATCAAATTTCATTTCTTTTTAGCTACTCCCTTTAAATTGTCCACAGAAAAAAAAAGTTGATATTATCAATATCAATTGAAAGGGAAAACAAATATTGGTGTGGTCTAATTGAACTGGCGACTTAGTTCGTGGTGTTGTATTCTCCTCGTGTGTAGGTCATGCGTTTGATCCCCGGCTAAAGACTTGAAAATTTGTATTTGCTGCTCCTCCGCTAAGCACATAATCATACAATTAAGAGCTCAGAGTCAAAATAAAATGTCTAGAATAGGTTGACATGTCTTCTTGTGGATTATTACCTTGTGAATTAGCACGTTAAAATCCGGCTTAGTGTGTCGGTTTAGTTCTAAGTAGGGTTCATATTCATATCAATATCACATAAACACGTTCTCGTCCTGATACGCCTGTAATAATTGCCATTATACATTAAACGCGAATCCATCAATCCATTATCTCAAATTTTTTTTTTAATGGGTAGCACACAGTGCTTCATTACTGAATTATATCCATTCATTTCTTTAGACTGGATTTATAGACTTTGAAATTTTTCTAATAAAAAAATAGTAAAATTAGGTCACGGAAACTGATTCAGAAAATTAACTCAACTATTTTTTTTTAAAGCGTGCTTGTAGTACTAGTATGTCGTTTCATTTCTTTGCCGTTCTCCAAGTCACAGGTAGATCGGATTGTCCCCCTTTTTTATTGTCAGTACATATTTCATTCTCCAACTTAATAACATGTTTTGTTCATAATTAATGTTTAGTGACAAACTATTTTGTTTAATAAAAATGACTTGTCGAGGTAGATAAATGCTTCTCTAAAAATGACCCACTAAATATTACGTAAGAGAAAGATCGAGGTAATACTAGATTTTGTTTTTCATGATAGCATATGCGTCAGTCATGTTTGTTGAAATATCTATCGTTAATAGATATTCATTATGCACAGAAAATATGATAAAATTGACAGATTTTTTCAAACTATATTTGAAAAGGGGTCAAATTGTACCTGTTCTCCATGATATATTATTAAAAATGAAATATTATTTTTCCTTTGAACATCTCGATTTTAAATCGAACGATTTCTTTTATATATTTTCGAATGTCTTTCGGCTTTTAAACCTTATATAATCTGTATATCCAGTGTATGTGACGATTGGCTTAACACATTAAATAAGATGATCTCTATGTCAATAAATTGTAAACAAAAGTTCCGTACGACAAACAAAAATGTCGAAGTCAAGTTAAACCGCACTCAGCGATTTATCTAATGTGAAAATTATATAGATACCGGTATTGTACCAATCACAAATCTATACCACGACCTTTGATCATCAAAATATAACATGACTAATCAGAAAAATCAACGTTAAATTTCAATATGTAAGTAAAATTAAATCTGCGATGATAGGATCTATGTCACATATCCACCAATCCTTGGTGATATAAATAAAGACGTTTATAGTACTATACCAATTTATTTAAATTAGGTAGTACATCGCTGAGTGATACGACCCCTCGCTACTACATATAGTGATCTTTATACGTCCGAAATACACAAATCTTGTCACAGGAACAAAATGAGCTCATGGAGAAAATTTTCTTTGTTTTAATTATTGTTATCATATTTCATAATTCATATCAAGGTAGGTTGTTATTATCTACATGCATACTTGTGATGCATTTTAATATTTACAAAAAAGACTTATGAAGGGATAAAGAGGGATTGTTTATTTGGTTTCATTGAGTTTGGGGTAAATTGTTGTATAAATATTCATATTCATGAAAATATTCTTTCAAAATTAACAAAACTAAATGCACTATACATGTACAAAATGAAAATGTCCGTTTTTTAACAAATACAATGGACAAATATTAGACCGTGTTCACACTGCCCATGTGAAACACGTTTTTGAGTATACACAAGTTTTATTGTTTACATCTTTGAAATAAAAACTAATCAATTGTTTGATATGCATTCAATTCTTTATTCAAAACGCACTTAATAACTTGAAGTGTTTTCAAAATTAACCCAGTATTACTTTATAATTTATGTTCAAACTGAATTCAATTAAACTTGTTTAAAACTTTTTAAAGCCTCAGTAAGAACACCGCCTAAGTTGCATCATGTTCGACATGTATGATAATATGAGGCTGGCCTGTTACCTTCTACAGCATGTCGGCCAGACGACAGTGAAGTAAGACGCATCAGAGGGTAACATAAAAACGCCTATATATCTTGAGATCATTCTTTCATAACACCAACGTCCTGAACCCCCCTTTAATATTGATATTATACCCCCCCCCCCAAAAAAAAAGAAACTACTTTTTATTTAAGAGGGTAGTTGTAGCATTAACATTTCTGTAAGAGATGTTATGTTTGGCGAGACACCCTTTTTAGAAATTCTGTCCTATGTTTCTATATTTGAGATAAATCATTGTTCTTGGAGTTTTGTAATATTTCCCAATTCTGCAATTCATCATTTCTTAAAAATTGGGTTCAAATAATGCACACAACTTCATCACAGTAATACTAAGATAATTTGGATAACAATTTTAAAAGAGCGAAACTATATGAAAAACATGGAGATGAAACGCTATAAAATATTTGTCTCGGAATTTCCGATCTCCAACTAGATGAATAGGCTACATTATAATGCAAGGGACCTGTTGAGATAAACAGCATAGCTCTGATGAAAACTCGTATGACGTAGATATCTCTTATTAATTGCAAACGAAAGCTGCATTTTCAAATATATGGAAATCTTTCTTTTCATCAAATGAGGCCATAGATCACTATAAGATTCAAAGGTCCGAATTTCGAACGCAGCAGATAAGTGACACATGACCACGTAAAAAAATGCTCTAAACAAGTACCCGCCGTAATGTTTTCGGATTCCCCAAAACCCTATATAATTCGTCAAAGCATCTATATAGCTATGTAGATTATTGTCATATTTTCTGAAAAGGCAGGTGGGGAGGGGGTCATGTATTAACAGCTTAGTAAAGCTCAAAAATTTGAAAATTAGCCATCTGCACGTGAGTCTTAGAACAAACACACTATATGCCTTAGATGTATATTGGCTAGGACAAGTTAATTGAGGCCTATGGTACTGCTGTATGTTGAAATATATGCATGTATGTTTTGGCTTTCAAACATAGCTGGGGTCCTGGATCACTGTTCAATCGGCAACGGCGATGTGCAACAAAGATTGTACAGGTATCAAATGCTTCTTTCAGAAATAGCTTTATACTTAAAATAAGATGTGAGATGAAGGTCAACCTTCAATTTAACAACAAACCCAGCAACACTGACAAGTTCTATAAAAATATAGACATCAAGTGGTCAGCAGATACATGTTTTTCAGCGACGAACAAGCCTTTTGCACCCACGCACAATCTGTCAAATTAGTAGGTTGATTGATTAGAGTATTGATCAATTGATTTGATGTCTAACATCCTGCTAGCCATCCTTAAATCTTATTCAGGACGATAACATGTTTATGTAATTTAAGATGATGAACCCGGTTTTATACTAGACCTACGCGACGAGTTGGATTTTAACGTGCTTACTCACGGAGATGACATGTTTCAAAACGTAAGACACATTATTCTGACTCCAAATCTACCAATATTTTCTCCTGCTCCTACTCCTAAAAGCCGCGTGACACTGAGACGAAGAGACAACAACTATCAGTTTGTTTTATGTTTAACCGGACCTCCCGCAATCTAGGAGAACGCGCCACAGGCGATTAATAGAACGGGCGAAACATGGGTTTAGTACAGTACATTCTAAAACAGATTTCCACATTGTCTTTTGGGTGAGGGACTAAGCGCGTGATCTGATAACATTTTTGTGCTTGTATAAAGTTGTTATTTATTCAACGTCGGTATAGCATAGTAGGCCTTGTGAATGAATGAAACCTATATGCCGCCTTACGTCAAGTTTATTGATTGACCGTTTCAGGCTGCCAATTATTTTTCGTACCTTGATTTACTTTGAATCTTAGACACCACAAATGTACGAATCATACCAGAGGTTAACCAATTTTTATGTAAATGTTTAATGTGACATCGTTAGTATACGTTTCAGTGACCGTGCCAGTATGCGCTGGCCAATATATTCAGATTAATAAATCACACGTGTTATAATATGTAAAGACCAAGGTGGTTAGCCACCATAGAAATACACTGTACTAATTTTTAAAGAACTCGTGTTCTCAATATCATTTTTTAAGATAAGTCAATGAACTACCTACATGTAATTACGCGATTGCAGGGACTTTTCAGGGATTATGAAAAACGCTTCAGTCAAAAATAGAATGAATAATTTTAAAATGATTACCTACACCAGGTAAATTTCGCTGTTTCTCTTAGTCTTCATGTTTAATGTCTCAAGAAATTTACTTTACAGTTTTTAAGAATTATTGCTCATTTAGAAAAGAAAAAAATGTATCTATCAACTGTGGCATATTCCATAGATTTTACATAGCGTAGGGTAACACCACCTCAGGAAGCGTAGGGTAACACCACCTCAGGAAGCGTAGGGTAACACCACCTCAGGAAGCGTAGGGTAACACCACCTCAGGAAGCGTAGGGTAACACCACCTCAGGAAGCGTAGGGTAACACTACCTCAAGAAGCGTAGGGTAACACCACCTCAGGAAGCGTAGGGTAACACCACCTCAGGAAGCGTAGGGTAACACCACCTCAGGAAGCGTAGGGTAACACTACCTCAGGAAGCGTAGGGTAACACCACCTCAGGAAGCGTAGGGTAACACCACCTCAGGAAGCGTAGGGTAACACCACCTCAGGAAGCGTAGGGTAACACCACCTCAGGAAGCGTAGGGTAACACCACCTCAGGAAGCGTAGGGTAACACCACCTCAGGAAGCGTAGGGTAACACCACCTCAGGAAGCGTAGGGTAACACCACCTCAGGAAGCGTAGGGTAACACCACCTCAGGAAGCGTAGGGTAACACTACCTCAGGAAGCGTAGGGTAACACCACCTCAGGAAGCGTAGGGTAACACTACCTCAGGAAGCGTAGGGTAACACCACCTCAGGAAGCGTAGGGTAACACTACCTCAGGAAGCGTAGGGTAACACTACCTCAGGAAAAGTTAACCTAAAGAGCTCCATATCGGTTATATGCCCCCTCATGTAGTCATCAAACATTGACCAGGAGCGAATGTAGGGGGATCTTTATGGCCGACAATTTTTGTTTTAGTGCGTTATTCTTATATGAGGGTCTCGATGGGGTCTTTCATTTCTGTATTCTTTAATGTTTTGGGCCATTTTTCTCTATTCTTTATACTTTTTGCCCATTATTCTTTATTTTTTATACTTTAGCACCTCGTTATTCTCTATTCTTTATTTTTTTGTCCATTTTTTCTCTATTTTGTAAACCCCCATCCACACCCTTTGACGTTCACTCCCTCTCCTCTTAATTCTCGATATGTCTCTCCGCCGGTCCCTTCCCTTTTTGTAAAACCTGGATCCACCACTGTTGGCCATTTTTTTCCTTTGGCTCTGTGTGAAGGTGAATCCAGAATCGAATGCAATAAAGTTTGTACGTTATACTTTGATATATGAAGGTCTGTAATCATGGTAATAGGGGTCCTTTGTTTCTTTATTCTTTAATATTTTAGAACATTTTGCTCTATTCTTTATTCATTTTGCCCATTAAACTTTATTCTTTTTAATTTAGCACCCATTATTCTCTATCCGTTTAGACCCTGATAAATATCTGGACTTTTTTAATTAAACACCTAGTGGAACGAGGGCCACAAATGAGATTTTATCTCACAATCTAAAAGAAAATGCGCGTCTTCGTCAATAATCTTTTATACGTGGCCATTGCCATTACTCTCTTGAAATTTCAACAAGTTTTCCCTTTTCTATTATCAAATGACGGTTATGAAGTCGGGACTTTACAAATAGTTCTTTAAAATTAAAAAAAAAAATATTCGAAGGCAAAGTTCAAAATGACAGATTTATTTAACATATATGGAATCCTTGCAACATCTTTTAGTTTATATTTATAGCAATGACGATGATGACATCATGTTGTTTACACCAGATTGACAGTTTAGCCGTTTTCAGTGCTTTATTGAAAGAATTAAAAAGCGTATAATTGCAATGTCTACTCATCTGTGTTTTTACTTATTGCGGTTTTAATTGTTATCCTTATCAATGGATTTTTTTTATTGATTAAGCATAACATTATATATTTGAAAGACATTTTCATCTATTTATATTAATTTTGTTTCAAATTTAGATGTTTTTTTTTTTAAACTAATTAGGCATAATTTAAAAATGAATTTAGTCATTTAATAATATTTTTTGTATTGACATTTTTTTATGTTTTATACTGACTAATTATTGGAAAATTTGGTGAATAATCTGCGGTGAAATTAGAGCAACATAAAAAAACTGACGTTAATGAGAAAGCTATGATTTGGTTGACCTGACGTACACTAGATATGAATCGAACGAAAATATTGATGACGTCACAATCAGTCAATCAATACCGGACATCAATCATAAGTTTTCCTGATTGTTGGTGTCACCAATAGATTCTTGCATTTATTAATAACGTTCATTAGCATAGATTTTATGTATGTGCCAGGTCAATATATGATTCAGCCATGTGTGACTTGACAGTTCTCTGTTAGCAATATATAGCAGCATTTCAAACTTTAGTCATCGTTTGAAAGAAAAAAAATCATTGCACTCTAACAATCCGCATCAAGGCCATGTTTTTCAACATATAAAACACCTGTGCCGATTTTTCTATGAGTAATATGATAATAAACTTTCCATAATTAGGTTTATATCTGCATCAAACAGTAGCATGTCACACAATAACACTTCCTCATAATCACACTTCTAGTAATTTGATCAATTTATTGAACAGGCACTTGACTGCCGTTCTGACGTTAATATAGCTAAGTCCTCGTTACGTAAAAATGCTTCGTGATAGACAAATCAGATAAAACATTGACTGACCAAGTACGAAGGAAATTTGGACTGCCGATGAAAAAAGAACCTAAATAAGGCCTCTTTGGTCATCCTAAAAATTGCGAAGGTTCTGCAACATGTAGAAAGCCAATCTCTTTTCACGGGGCACCCGAAATAATAATATATGTCATATATTGTAAGAGTTTGCATAATTTGTTCACAGTACAACATCACATTAAATAGTCATTGACGTTTGACGGTTATCATTATTTTAATTTTGACTACAGTATTCCCGCTAGACACTGGAAACTGCTTGTGCCTTATTCATCCCAAAGAAAATTAACTTCTTCTACGAGTGCTTTTTTATGTCCTGTACGATATCAATTTACATGTATTATAGAAAATTATTTTGTTTTATTCGTTAAAAAGACGGAAAAATACAAAGGGGACACATATATTCCATGATGGCGTACGTACAACTTTAGAAGGGATGACTTCGACTTTATCACTTAGAATCCTAGATGTCATAGCTTCCTTTTAACCATAACCCTTTATCGAGGAAATCGTGAATCAAATAAGAAAACGTGAATGTTTTGCGTGTATTATCTGATATGTGTTAGCCAACTGTACGACTTCATTTTCCCGCGATATCCGTACGTTATATGTAAAAGTAGTTCACCATTACAATTTTAATAAAAGAAAAATACTGGAGTCATTATAATTTATAGTCTTTACAATTTAAGAATAACAGGCAGCAACGTATAACATTCTTCTGCAAAAGAGAGGCGAAGGATACCAAAGGGACATTCAAACTCATAAGTCGAAAATAAACTGACAACGCGATGACTAAAAAAGAAAAAGACAACAAAACAGTACATAAAACACAACATAGAAAACCAAAGACTGAGCAACATGAACCCCACCAAAAAATTGGGGTGATCTCTGGTGCTCCGGAAGAGTAAGCAGTCTGATCCACATGTGGCACCGGTCGTGTTACTCATGTTAGTACAAACTCAGTGATAAGTCTAATTACGACAATTGGAACGGATATTCCATAACGGTCAACCAACTCGTGATGGCGTCCGTAAAATTTACGAAGGGACGATATCAACTTCACCACTATCTTAGCTTTAGACGTAGCAATATCTTATAATCGTGCATGTCAAGTTCTTTGGGCCTAAAGTAGTCCCTTTGTATATACATAACGTATATTTTCTTTTTTTGTTTGTTAAATACACATATTTTTTTTCAATTTTAGCTCCAGTTCGCCTTATATGTCCGCCATGTTCAATAGTGTGTAACAACGATATAAGTAATCTACGTAAGCAGTGTCAGTCTTGCCAGTGCGAACCTGTCAAACGTAAGTAAAGAAGTGTGACCCAGAGGTGGATTTAGAGGGCCCAGGGTACCGGACCCCCTTTTGGAGCTACATATATGGTTATAATGCATAGACTTTTTACATGTTCCACTCCAAACGTTGCCTATTTTGGGGCCCCGTCCATTTTAAAAAATCCTCGATCTGCATCTGTGATCTGTTTCCCGAAATTGCTTATAGATAGTCAATCGGGGTCAATGCCTCTAACGCATTTACTTTCAGATACAAAGTACAGTTCAATTCCGTTTGGTTTCAAGTTGTTATTGAGTATACAAAAATGTAAAATTGTAAAAATAAATATATGTTACGGACTATATGAGTATTTGGCCCATACGCGTATCGTCATAACCATATGTGTATACTCGTATGGTTATTAACGGACCGAACCATGTGAGTATTTATACCATATATAGGTCTTTTCGAAAAAGCATAAAAAAGTCCAAATATTCATAAACATACATGTCTGCAATAGCAATTACCTGTATTTCAAAAGAAATATCTATACAATAGACAATTACCTGTATTTCAAAAGAAATATCTTTTCAATAGACAATTACCTGTAGTTCAAATGGAATATTCAATAGACAATTTACTGTATTGCAAAAAAATTTCTTCCGTAGCAATTAGGCCAAATATAGGTCTTCAATAGCAATTATTTAAAAAAAAAATGCTTTCAATAACAAATATTAAAAAATGTCTTCAATAGCATATTTAAACGACATTTTTAATTTCACGAGTATTTATAAAAATGGAGAAAAATACTTTTAGTATATTGTTTATATAAAAATAAGAAGATGTGGTATGATTACACAGAAATTAACAACTATAGGTCACCGTACGGCCTTCAACAATGAGCAAAACCCTTACCGCATAGTCAGCTATAAAAGGCCCCGAAATGACAAATGTAAAACAATTCAAACGAGAAAACTAACGGCCTTATTTATGTACAAAATAATGAACGAAAAACAAAAAGATATATACAGCAACAAACGACAACCACTGAATTACAGGCTCCTGACTTGGGACAGGCACATACAGAATGTGGTGGGGTTAAACTAGTTTGAAGGCGCGCCAACCCTCCCCTCACCTGGAACAGTGGTGTAACAGTACAACATAAGAACAAACTATAGAAATCATTTGAAAAGGGCTTAACTCATCAGGTCGATAAAAAACAGACTTAGACTTTTTTATAGTCAGATTTCACCAACTTTCATATATTGACCGAACGAGTAAAACAAATGCAGCGAAAAGTGAACCTACCTCTTTCTAATCCATCTTTAATTAATTGTATTAAATCATGTATACTTACGGCAGCTTAATAATAAGTACACTTTTTTTCTTGCTTATAAATGTAACATAGATTTGTTACAATTGTATGTTTGGATCAGTCGGTATCTGAAATTCCGTGGACTCCCCACTACTGAATACCATGCGTGTTGTGTGTTTGTTGTTCTATTTTGAGTATACGTCCCTTGAAGGTCTCTGATAAGTCAATAAAGTCTTGAATCTTCTATTGGGGTCTCGATGGCCTAGTGATCTAAGTAATTCATCTACTGTATCACTAGCCCGTCAACACTGAGTTTGTAAGTTCGAAGCACGTGGCAGGTGCGTTCGACTGTCACTCAAATCTTAATTGACTATGATTGTCAATTTTTCGATGGTCGGTGGTTAATTTAGGGCACTCAGGCTTCTTCCAATAATAAAAAAAGCTTACTGCCACGATATAGCCAATAATCAATCAATCAATGAATCTTGTATGCGATTCAGTCAAAATCTTCTGTCCATATATAGAATAAAGGCATTATTTTTTTCTGACATCATTGGACGATATCTTTTAATTGAATATTTAAAGAGTGTTGCGTGTTTTTGAATTAGTCACACCTATTTGGCCTTCTTAGAGTATTATTGAATCTTTTGGGCCTATTATTGTCTATTATTTTTGTTTTGCCTATTTTTATCTATCCTTGAATTTTTACACACTATTCTCTATTCTGTAAACCCCCACCCAGACCCTCTCTTGTCAGGACAGGAATGACAAATTCTGATACCATTGGAACACAATTTGACAAAGTCTAAATACTTAATAAAAGAGAGGCGAAAGATACCAAAGGGACATTCAAAATCATAAGTCGAAAATAAAGTGACAACGTCATGGCAAAAAAAAAGAAAAGACCAAAAGACAAACAACAGTATATAATACACACCATAGAAAACTAAAGACTGAGCGACACGAACCCCATCGAAATTCCGGGGTGATCTCAGGTGCTCTGGAAGGGTAAGCAAATCCTGCTCCACATGTTGCACCCGTCGTGTTGCTCGTGTAAGTACAAACCTGGCGATCGTCTAGTTCGATAGGTCACATTTGGGGAAAGCATGACGGGATTGTGATAACGATTATTGGAACATATCCGTCGTCATCTGTGAAACAGATATTCCATATGTGCATGTATATATATATATAAAGTGAACGGACGTTACGTATATAATATCAGATATGAGACGGAGCCAGATGTAGAGTGTCGGAAACCATTTGATGACACCTCAAAATGAAATGGCAGTGCGTGTAATATGAATCCGTTCAATGTAATTTTGCCTTTTAAATAACAGCAGGAATTTTAGAAAAAAAATTTGATACCCTAAGACGATGTCTCGTGAAAGGGTGTGTCGCGTGTGTGAAGTAGACACAATTATCCATTCATTGTAATTAGACCATAAACAGATGGAGATATTGGAATAATAATTTTCCGTTACGAAATCAATTTATTGAAATTGTTTTTTTTAAAGACGAGATGCATAGACGTCATGCCAGCGCGTGACATTATTTTCCGAAAAAACCAATTATATCCGAATTCGGAAATACTGAAATAATGTACAAGAGTTATACAAGAGATATTGTTTTTATTTGAAATCTGAATAGTAAGCATATATTTATATTTTCAGATATTCCACACTTAGTCGCTGTTGTTTTATGTCCATATAAGATATGCAAAGAGAACTGTGGCTTTATGGGATACAAACGAGACAAAATGGGGTGCAAATCATGTGAATGTAAAGAAATCTAATACGACAAAATGGATAGGAAATCGACTAAACTGCAGGAAACTTTGCAAGACAGCATGCTTTGAGAATTATGTGAAAGCCGGGAAATTTATTTTGTTTTTATTTGTTAAGTTATTGTTATATTTTTTTAATAATCTTGTGTTGTTCTTCTTTGCTGGTACTCCCAAAAGAACCAATGGTGGTTATGTGGTATCGTACTCGCCTTGTACGGAAGGTTTCGGGTTCAAACCCCGGCTAAATCATACCAAAGACTTGCAAATAAGTATTTGCTGCTTCGCCGCTTAGCACGCGGCATTTAGGGTGATCGGCTCTGCGTCAAAATAATGTGTCCTAGTATGGTGACGTGTCTTCCTGCGGACTGTTTTATTGTAATTTGCCACTTTACAAAATTGGTCTATTATAAAGAAGGGTTCATATTCATATTGCATTGATATGTTATTATTCTGATATGCATGTTATATTTTCCACTGGACGTAAAAAAAAAACCAACATCTATACATCAAATAACATCCATTAGAATATCGGACACAGTTAAACCGGGCAGATATATAAGTGTACATGCGAAGTTATTAGATCCATATATAGTTGGTTTATTCTATATATTTGAACTATTTGGGACGACTTGTCGGGGAATTTTCGATTTTTAAAGCTAGCTTATAAACTTCGTATTTGACTTATTCTTCAAACTACATGTATTTTGATTCTAGCGCCAATGATGAGTCTTGTGTATATTAAACGCGCATCTGGCGTACCCTATTTAAGCTTGGTATCTTTGATAAGTCTGTTTTTTTCAACTAATTGCACAATATAAATAGATTTTATTTATAGATATTTATATCTCTTTGAAAGTTTCACGGAGGCAATCTAAGGAGGCCATCATGACTGTTGATAATTACAGAATATCTATGTCAAGGATGACCACGGCTATATATCATTTATTCACAGGCAACACTTTATGTCCTCTTTTCCTTATTTGGAAACAGTCTTTCGTTCATCCTCGGTTTTTTTCGTTAGGTTACAGCTTGTCAATCTTAAGTGTATTGTAGACTGCTTTTTGTTTGTTTTGCCTTTTGTTTTCACCAATGTGTTGTTTGTTTTTCCTCCCGACTAGTTATTTTTAATATCCCCCCTTTTCTCCCACTGGATATCTTTGTTCACTCTCTGAGACTAACTAAAAGGAGAACACAGCCCTATATGCTCTATGAAATACGAATCAACTTGTTCCAATCTGTACCTTTGGTTTTCCTGTTTGAATTGTTTTACACTAGTCTTTTTGGGGCCCTTTGGCTCCGTGTTGAAGGCCGTACTTTGACCTATAATTGTTTACTTTTTACACATTGTAACTTGGATAGATAGTTGTCTCATTGGCACTCATACCACATCTTCTTATTTATATAAACACTACGTTTGGATTTACTCAAAAATTATATTCATTCATTTAGTATGACTGGTTCGCTTCCCTTCTTTTATATTGGAAATTTAAAATTGTGTCGATTATATTTATTATCATAGAATGAGATATGGTATCACGCACACAATAATGCGATTGCTTCCTTAAAAACAAAAACTATAATGAAAAGAAAATCTTGAGATAACTTCAAAGGCTCTCAACAATAAAGGTTCTACGAACAACTTAACTGAAACAAATCAACAAATTAGTAACTTATATGAAAAAAAACAACATCTAAACTCAATGTTTATGAATTGAGTCAGGCATATTAAAATCTACGTGTCTGAATTAGGGAGGGGAGGGGGAGATCCGACCCTGTATTTTGGGTCATTCTTTTATTTGTTTTATGTATTCTCAATTAATTGTAACCTATCCAAACTCTCAGTCAATGTAATTAGTCGTTTCTGCGTAAATGTATGCAGAATGATGCCGTTTATACAATAACAATGTTTGTCAGTCTGTAACAACTTTTTTTTTAAATTTCATTTTAATGGACGGTTATAATTTTGTTTTTGAAAGCTGTATATTGACTTACTTAAGTAAAATATAACAACAAGATAAGATTTACGAAGACAAATTCGTTAGTGCCGAACAGATAAACAGTCAAATAAAAAATAAACACACACAAATCAATAAATGTAATCTTTGTTGATTTATTAACCTGTTTCAATTACAAAATACCTATTTGAAAACTAGGTTAAAAAAATAACTATGGTCTCATCTGCAAACAGTATAGAAACCCATTTTTCAAAATAATCATTATTGACTGATTCAGTAAAATCTGAAATCCTAGATCATTATGTTAGAAGAATTTTCCATGTCTTTAACATTATATTTAGTTTGTTGATTGGTAGCTTCCCTCTGTTTCCTGTTTAATGCTTCTTCTTGAAGCAGTAGTCTCATTAATAAATTTCGCTGAGCTAGTATACGTTATTGTTTAAGGGCCAGCTTAAGCCCGCCTCCGAGTGCGGGATTTTCTCGGTGCGTTGAAGACCCATTGGTGGCCTTGGGCTATTTTCTATTCTTTGGTCTGATTCAGTATTGTCTCTTTTACACATTCCCCGTTTTCATTCTCAAATGTCTACAAGAATAATTATGGTTCAGGTTCACCAATAATAAGCCAACGTAAGATTTCAGATGACAAGATTGAAGCCATCTTGCCTCAAGACTATTACCCTGTCGATGAAACCAGGATCGCTCCGTTTGGAGTTAAGACGATCCACTCTCAACTGTTCTGAGTATTTTTGATGTCGGAAATCTCTAACATCCGTTGAAATAATTCTTAAGTCGCTTCTCTCATACCCCCCAAAAAAGTATAATCTTAGCACAACAGCATACCCCAAAGTATAATTTTAACACAGCAGCATGCCCCAAAGTATAATCTTAACAGCAGCATACCCCAAAGTAAAATCTTAACACAGCAGCATACCCCAAAGTATAATCTTAACACAGCAACATACCCAAAAAAGTATAATCTTAACAGCATATCCCAAAGTATGATCTTAACACAGCAGCATACCCCAAAGTATAATCTTAACACAGCAGCATACCCCAAAGTATAATCTTAACACAGCAGCATACCCCAAAGTATAATCTTAACACAGCAGCATACCCCAAAGTATAATCTTAACACAGCAGCATACCCCAAAGTATAATCTTAACACAGCAGCATACCCCAAAGTATAATCTTAACACAGCAGCATACCCAAAAAAGTATAATCTTAACACAGCAGCATACCCCAAAGTATAATCTTAACACATCAGCATACCCAAAAGTATAATCTTAGCACAGCAGCATACTCAAAAGTATAATCTTAGCACAGCAGCATACCCCAAAGTATAATCTTACCACAGCAGCATACCCAAAAGTATAATCTTAGCACAGTAGTCAGCAACTTTACAGAAAAGTGTAAAATTTTGTCAATAAGCTGCAATTTCATTCTCTACTGTCTGGTGCACCGGACCTAGAAATAAACGTTTATTACAAAAAAGTCATGGATTATGTTTATAGAACTTACTTCGACCTTTCAATTTTTTATTGTTCCTTTAGTATGTTCAACTTTTTTTTCGACAGGTTACCTGATCTGTGGTTAGACATCCTGATATTCGGTCAAGTAAGAGCAACTTAAAAAAGTAAAATTAAGCTTACAATCGGTACAATTGGGGGGGGGGGGGGGGGGGGGGGTTATCTATTCATGACAAAATGATGGGAAAACAGTAAACTTCCCATCCAAATTGCACCGATTATGTGTTGGATTTTACTTTTTTTTGTTGCTCTTACTTGACCGAGTACCAGAATGTCCTACCACATACTATGTAACCTGTCGAAAAATTATATAATCCGGAGTCAAAAGTCGGTAATATGAAAAAAGACTATTGGATGCAATGGATTAATTGGATTATTGACAAGAATTGTTACTGTCGCTTGAAAAGAACGTATGTTGGATAGGGACAGATGTAACCTTCCAACAGGTCACCTTTGAAGAAGAGTTCTTAGTGGCACTTTCCTTACACAAGGCATCATATTTGATGCCCCCATTCAGAAAGAATACAAATTTTACATGCTGCGCAGCGAAATGAATTCCCCTCTTAGGCATTGGTTTCACCATACAAGGTCGTGTTTGGGTGTGACATTCTTAGCTCTTTACAATATGATGAATTACGGCGACAGTAGTTTACTGATATTAAAAGTTTAAAAAATCAAGAAGAGACAAAAAACTGTGCGTCGAAAGGGTAAGCGTCTCTTGCTACGCATGCACCACCAACTATTCGAATATCTTATTCTGCCTGATGAATGCTCTGATAAGCCAAAAGATGTAAGTTAACCTAATCACGCTAATAATATTCGAATCTTTTGGAAACACATGAAAAAGAAGATAGCCATGTATGTTCTGTTTGCGAAACTCAATGTTTTTCAAAAGTGTTGACAGAGCTGAAAATGTCATGTCCGGGTTTCACCAAATAAGGTTGTAGTGCTAAGACCATATTTAACGTCAAACGATGTATTTGCAAAAAAATCAGGACAAATGTGCAACTGAATCTGCCATTTAGATATTTTATGAAATAACAGATAATTGTCGAGTTCAGTACTTGTGGGAATTTTAAATAATTCAGTAGAATTTATTTTTGATAACTAAATTTAAGTGCAAGCGTTAATATTCAGTAATTATCATAGATAAAACTGTCGTGTTGTTCTATACTTTCTATGGCTCAGCTTTTGTGAACATTCCATTTAATAAAATAATTCAGGAATTTTGTAAAATGTTTGAAAAAAATAGTCAATGTATAAAATATATAACAGATTTTACAAAATGCCTAAATTTAGAAAATGCCTGTGACATATACAAATAAAGCAAAATTATATTTGTATGTAAATATAAGGGGATGTGGTATGAACGCCAATGAAACAACTATATATTCACTAGAGACCAAATGAAGACTATAGGTTACCGTACGACCTTCAACAATGAGCAAAACCAATACCGTATACTATGCTATAAAAGACCCCAGTATGATGAAATTTAAACAGGTTATTTGTGCAATAGTTTGTTTGATGTATCTTTCTAAAGATTATCCCAATTATCGCTGGATTAGATTTTGAAAAGATTGGTCGGTTGGTCATTCAAAGTATAGTCGGAAATAAACAAACATCGTATTTACATATATCTGTTTTAAATAAAACAA